TCAACCATTCTATTAGAGATATCAGACTTAAACCACGTCTCAGAGAGTGCAAGAACATGTAAGGAAGAACCAAATAAAATCGATCTCAACTCACAAAATTTAATTGAGCTGTTAGATGGCCTTAAACTTCGGCAGTTTAAATGCGCAATGTTAAAATTATCATGACATGAGCCAAGTATCGAATTTATGTACACGTTGTTGCTAATCGCTGGTCCACAATTTGCACTAAGAGACATTAAACGAAAAATAATTGATATAGCGGGGAACCAAATATATATAAAATGTTAAATACCTTTTCCTTATTATTTCAAAATTCATTACAAAATATCACATATTTAAGGCAGCTGATCGAATTTTCAAATGAGATCAGTAATTAAAAATTTCAGTTACAAAAAATAAAAACCAATTATAATATTTATAAGAAATCACAAAAAAAAATAAAAAAGATCAAATATTTACGCCTTCAGCATCACACAGCAATTCATCACACTGACTTGAGTTATAAGTGACTTCTCTGCCGTCATCAAACTTAAGCCATGCCTTCAATACGTCGGAATTCAAAATTTTGAATCTGTTTATCACCTTCAAACGACGAAGTTTCTTGCATACGAAGTTCAGATGCGCTGCCGCAGGAGAGAAATGATCGTTCAGATAGACACGACTAGTTAAACCAATTCCTAAGTCACCCAGCAAATCAGAAACTTTAAGATTACGAGTTTTGAAGTACTCTTTCATTAGCAGATCACGTTTTGACACCTTATTGAACTTCACCAAAATTTGCTTTTTGCGGTTGATATAACATACGTGGTTTATATCCATGCTGGTGAGTGGAACGTTGTAAACAGAGCCCAAAGCAATCACAGGAGCTTCCAGATCATTCAGTCCGTCTGGCAACCCTCCTATAAGAATGTCAGAACGATTCATCCTTTTGTGCATCACATTATCTTCTTTTTCCAGAGCTACAAATCGAGCAGAAGTAGTTGTTTCAATACGACGAACATTGTCACCACATTTCTTTATATCAGCCCTCATTTCAGCAACACATGAACTGACTTCCTTTTTTATGTCGTCGAGAACCATTGTAAGTCGATTCTGTTCAGTTTGATAGTTCGACATAAAATCATCCAATTTGGCAGTTAAGCTATTTATCTTTTCAACAACATCATCATTACAGGCTTTGTTGTTGAGATTGGGCTCACAAGCAGGACATATATAAGCAAATGCCTTCACAGTCCTCAAAACACATAAATTTTTCTCCTCTATATTCGCACAAGAGGCATGAATCCAGCTGTTGCAAGCTTTGCATAAGACACTAGCCTGTGTTTTGGTTACAGACTGGTTGCATATTGTGCACTTTGTAACTTTAGAAACCGGCATATTTAAATCAGTAACGTAGCAAACAGCAACAAAATTATTAAAAAATGTCGGCAGGCAATAGAAAACAGCAACAACAGCAATCAGCAACTTATGCAACACAAGGCAATATCCACCAACGCAAAATATAAAAAAATCAGTAATGTCACCACTTTATTTAATAATTAACAGGCAAAAATCTTCGCAGAATTAAGTTTGTTTTATTTGTTTAGTTTGTAACGAACGTAAATAGCAAAATAAAGAAAGCGATCAGCTGCGATTAAAAAACACGTCTACTCAGACATAGGGTTCTATAGTTTTCCAAGCCAAGCTTGGTTGAAATCGGTTCAGATTTAGATATAGCTCCCATATATAGTTTCGTCCTATTTTATGTATATGGTGCACCAAACTCACAATTTTGCTCCGATTGAGACAAAATTTTGCACAGAGTACTGAATTAGGTCTAGATTGATATATGCAAAACTTGGTTGAAATCGGTTCAGATGTAGATATAGTTCCCATATATAGTTTTGTCCGATTTTATGTAAATGGTGCACCAAACTCCCAATATTGGTCCGACTGTGACAAGATTTTGCACAGAGTCTAGATTGATATATGCCAAGTGTTGTTGAAATCGGTTCAGATCTAGATATAGCTCCCATATATAGTTTCGTCCGAATTTGTGTAAATGGAGCACCATACTGCCAATATTGCTCCTATTGAGACAAAATTTTGCACAGAGTACTGAATTAGGTCCAGATTGATGTATGTGAAGTTTTGTTGGAATCGGTTCAGATTTAGATATATCTTCCATATATATAGATTCATCCGATTTTATGTAAATGTCGCACCGAAAAGTCTAAGTTTGTTCTATATGCAAACGTAACAAATCAAACCCAGAATAACGAGTATTGCGTACTGTGCTGCATCATACCAAACGGTGGATGTCACGGTTGCTCAAACACGTCTATTTATATAGATCTTATACATATTTTGCTCGATGGTTGATATTAAATTTTTCATAAATTTCAGATTGGTATGTGAATGGGCTGCTTTAATTTAGTCTAAATATATATATTCTTTACGCAGTTAATTTCGTCCGATTGAATTTCAATGGTCCTCCATAGATGCTATGTCTATTCTATCTAAAGGAAATTCTACATATGAGCATCTCTTGTATGTACCCATAGTGGTGAAGGGTATAATGTAGTCGGCCCCGTCCGACTTTTGAACTTTCCTTACCGGATATTTTAAAATTCGTGATACCATTTTTTTAACAAGTGTGTGTACAACAAATATCAGCTGACAATCATTTAAAATGATCTCAAAGCCTTAATTTATTTTCAGAATATGGTAAATCCACTTCATATAATTTTCATATGTAAATGTGCTATAATTCTGAGAGCAAACAACGTAGTTCAAGTGTCTGTCAGAACATAGCATAAGAATGGAAGAAATGAACGAATGTGGCAAGCATGGTAAAATAGAAGGCACATTTTTCGTACATTTTTCATACCTAGCACAATATTTTTCCACCCCTATTTTAATTACATCCAAAGTAGGTAGCCGCACCAGCACAGCTGCTGCTACAATTAGCTGTCAAAAATATTGTTTTAATTAAAAACAACAACAAAATAAAACGTTATTATAAATAAGAAAGCTCTGCTTTTTGAAGAGCTTATTCAACAATTAATTTTTTAACATTTTCCGAATGAATTTTTTTATAAAAATCTTAGGCATCGGTTTGTTTTTTTTTCCAAATATTTTTGACATATCATTGTTCTACATCAGTTGTTCATTGTATTCGATTGCTGATGCGGGTACTTTATAAAATCAACCTTGATGCATCCTTTGCCAATTATTAAATTATTTGTTGTGGTGCTAAGTTTGTGTTATTGGTTTTGGTTTATTTCAAGATTTTCAAGAGGCGGGCTGTTCACGTTAAATTATATGGTCGTGCGTTAGACTATATGGTCGTACGATTTATTAAATTAAAACATGAATTAATGGTAACAAGTAACGTAGATCCATTACCATCTCAAAATAGTATCGAACGGCATTTTTGTTCATAGTAACAATCAATGGCATACACACGAACGAATATTAACTGTTATTCCATTTTAATTCAATTAAAATATTGTAAATAGTGTGTTTCGTCTTCATGAACTGATATGTAACAAATTATTATGAACAGTTGTTGATGTAGGGCTTCGCTAGCAGACAGCAATCAAAACAATGTGTGTATGTGTGTGATCTATGTGTATATTTATTTTTAAAAGGTTTGCATCTTGGCCTTAGACAAATTTGTGACGTACATGGTGGAAAATAGTATGCGTGAAGTGAGTGTATGCCTGTAATCTGAATTCGATTCTATTAAAATGTGTCTTATCAAATTTGCAATATTTTGGTTATCTGTTACACTCTTACAATGTTTGTTACGTATGTGTATATATATATAAATGCTACTTGTATACTACATACTATTATCTACGGAACATAACAACATAAAAACAGATCAAACTCAAAGCACAATTAATTAAAAATAAAAAAATATAAAGGTTAATGTATCTACATATGTTCGTATTCAAACACAATTGAACCATCGACAACATGTTTTGTTTTCCTTGTCCATAATATATTTTATTAAATTTTATATCAACATGATATTTTCTATTCTTAAAAACATAGCATTGATTTCTAACATTAAAAACATACATATTGTCGAATGAACTTTGTACAGTTGATTTATATCCAGTAAAATGGCAAGTTTCGGTGCATAGACATCGTTTTGAAAGCCAGAAAAATGATAAGTTTTCAATTTCCAATTTTCATTATATTTTTGTGAAAATTTATTAGAAATATTTTATGTCTCATTGAATGCGATATTGCATATTTCACAAATTATATGCCTTAAACTATATATCCTTTATTTTATAAAATAAATTTAAGCAAATAACCAGACCTAGATAGGCAGAATAAGTAATATTTTCAGATTCTAGTTTTATTTTTCTAATCCTACTAATTCTATATTTCAGCAGCACCGCCACAAAAATATTGCCAAAATCAAGGAGGAAACATGCCAATTGTTATGAAATTTTAAATAAATCCGAAAAATAATTTTTTTGGGGTTGGTACTAATATCATAAGGTAATGTTTTTGTAATTTCCCATAAAGGTTTATATTGGAAATGTGACTGATAGCGAGCAAATGGATTAATAAAATACAATAATAGTAAAATTAGAATTATATACTTTCTACTTCTGTAATTGATAACGTTCCTTGGCTACCGTCCAGACTGCTATTGCTCCCGATAAGATACACGACTGAATAACAATAAAAAGTACGCGCAGATAACCAATTGTTAGACTTTTGTTTTTTTTTTTAATTATAGTTACCGCCTCAAATATATATAATGGTGCCATAAGGTTTGATATCAATTTTTATATGTCTCGGTTCAAAAAAAAAAAAAAACAATGACATCGTAAATTTGTAAATATAATAATTGCACATAAACGTAAAGCTAATCCGTTTGTTTGTCTATATAATCACAAAAATAACCAATTCATTGTTTACTTCAAATGTTAGTTTCCAATGTCAGTTTTAGGTTCTTCAACATAGTCTAGCTGCAATAAACGAGGACAGTCACTATGAGAAACGTTATTCAGGAAGTTCAAAATAAATATTCATTTTTAGACAACCTTCTTACAAACTTCTGGAAGTCCTGGACTAAATCAAATACAACCTTCAAACTACAACTGAAAAATATCAAATGGAAGAATAAGAAAGCTGAGCCAGGTTGTGCGTACAAGCCAACAGAGGTTAGAGAGCAACATACATACATAATTATACATTTTTGATTGCCCTACATTATTGTAACTATTTATTTACATTATAGATTGAGCAATTAGCAAATGTATTAACCCATGGTATTTGGATAGTGCCTGCAGTAATATGTGCCAATAAGTTATTTGAACGTTCGAAAACGTCGAGCCAATATTTAGTATCGTGGGTTTATGGAGGAGCATTAACTCTGCTTTTTACATTATCGACGGGTTTCCACTGTTCTTGTTTCTGTGATAATAAGGGGTAAGTATAATGATAACCACCAAATAGGGTAGCGTCACTGGTCTTTTGTAAAAATAGGATGAATTTTAATTTTGAATCACAATTGCTACGGCAGTTTTTTTTTGTTTTTGGCAATATTGGTATGTTGTTATTACACAATGGACCCAAGTGATAGCCGTGTTTGAGATCTAAAAAAGAATGTTCACGCATAGATGCATAAAATTGTTAATTTAGAAATGTAGAATTGATGGAGTGAAACACACTAAAGACAAAAATCAATAAAGATGAAATGTAAATTTGTCATATAGGTATAAACCGATTTTTAATTATGAATAGTTATTTGTTGTCGGTATGTTTTGCTGACTACTTCATTTTAGTTAATTTGCCGTTTCCTTTTGTCGTCAACTAGTTAGAGATTTGCACTAAAGGCAAAGCATTAAATTTGCAGACAGAATATATTTCTTTTAATAACAATGTAAAGAATTTAGTAATTAGGAATTATGCTTATGTTGTATCCAGAAAGGAAAACTGTTATGATTAGGTTCTTATGCTTCCTTTGTATTGGTATTATACATAAATAAGAAAATAAATAAACAAATATAATCATCAATATTATTAGAGTAATAAATTACGAATTATTTATAAAAATTGTTCAATGAGTTGGCAGTTTAAATGAAGTTGCTTTTTTTATTTGGCCTTCTTCTTTCACGTACATCATTATCATTAAGTCAAAGAAGCATCTTATGCGTGAACACACTTTGTCAAAGTTTCGTTATCTACAAATGATGTTAAACGTATTTACTCATACCATTCAAAATCTGTAATTTTTCTTTGCACTTATATTAAGCAAAATTTACATGCTAACACCTACAAATTCTTGACAATACTGTGTACATTCAATAAAATAACTATTATTTGCCATTATCATTTGTTTTTAATTTTTTATATATTTTTGTTAACATTCTGCTGCACTTTTTGTTTACTTTTAGTGGCATCAAAAATGTTCTACATCGCTGTGATCGTGCTATGATTTACATTTTCATAGCTGCTTCGTATTTTCCCTGGCTACAGTTAGAAAATCCTAACCATTCCGCGCTTCTAATTTGCTTGGAATGGGTAATTTGGTTAATGGCAGCAATTGGTATCACATATCAACAGGTATTTGTTTTGATCAATGGACAGCAAATGAAAAATCATAGAAACTATTCCTTTTTTACAGATATTTCACGAACGATTTAAATGTTTGGAAACATGTTTTTACATACTAATGGGATTAGGTCCGGCTTTAGCTGTGTTCGGCTCGGGCCATGAATTTCCTGGTATGACAGAACTTAAATTGGGTGGATTTTTCTATATAGTGGGGATATGTTTCTTTAAATCGGACGGTCTGATACCAATGGCCCATGCCATATGGCATTTGTTTGTGGTAATAGCTGCCGGATTTCATTATTATGCAATCTTAGTTCACTTGTATCCCCTAGCAGATAGTAATTCCAATGTTTAGCAAACATACCCTCTCGGTGAATGGTGTGAATTATTTACTTAAGACATTTACACTTCATTTCTTCCAACAATCGTATATTTTTTTATGATTAGACACATCACAACTCCAACGTCCATTTTTTATAGTTTTGTCCATAAAACTATGCAATGTAGGTCTCATTTAGTTTAATTTTTATTTCGATTTTTATCCATTTGTTTTCAAATGAAAGCCGAATTTATTTGTTGTTTTTTTTTTTTCTTCTTTGGTTTGGATAAACTACTTCATCGTATTGAGTTGAATACCAATTCTGTCATAAGTTAGGCTTCCAGCCACCTTATAAAATGTTTGCATGACATCAGTGATAGTTTTAAGATTTCACAGGAATACACCACTTTACTTATTATCAAACTTGGAGGATTTTGAGAACAGCAATACAAATGTCTTCCTTTGGGGACCTACGGTAATATATTTATAAACTATGCACCGATTATGACAAGATGTTATATTTGATCAGCATATTCCGCCAAATATACAAGAAAACTGTGCACATTATTTTTGTAAAATGTAATCGATAAACATAGGAGTGTACCCAGCAGCAGTGAAAAGTGTGATCTTTCCAGTATTTACCTCCAACGTGTAACCACCAATTTTCCGAAACCAAAAAAATATACCTAAAGATGAAATATTACTCTAGTGTTCAATAGAAAAGAAATTAAACATTTTATAGGTTAGTGTATTCAACAACAATAGCGTAATTGTAATTATATATGTATATGTATTATGATGATCAACTATGTTCGCAGTCAAATAAATTACAATGATGAAACTGGTGTGTTTTTCTTTGTGTGGGTCAATTTATTGCAATTTGGAATTTTATTCTATGGCCAAGGCATTGCAAACAAATTCTCCAGCTATCTTTTGTTCGACGCTTATGTCCGTGGCCAGCTTTAATCGTTCGGCTAGAATTACTGTACATGAAAGAAGAGGTGCTGCCTTTTCTGGTATCATACGAAGCACAACCCGGGTCCATGTATTTCTTACAATATCAACTCTTTGGGAAAGCTGCCTTTTTAGCATGGGCCAATCTTCTTTGTGAGAAATTTGAACAAAGTGTGCTAGGGCCAAACACAGTTGTTCCTGCAGGTTATCGCGATGATTGTATTCGTGGAAATTCTCCAAATTATGCGATTGTTCAATGGCTTCCAATATAGACGTCCAAAACTTTTCAAAGTAGCTGCCAAAATGAGACCTCTCCGATATATTCATAATGGCGGCGGTAGCATTCGTACGGACCTTAAAGTTAGTGTGATTAACGATGACATGACAAAGGGCTGAGTATAGGGTTTGTTGCCAGCTCAATAAATCCGTAACTGTTCCGTTCTTGAATATTATATGGTTGCGCATTATATTGCCAATGGCATAACAGGTGTTCCATTTTACTTTAGCATTTCCCGATGACCGTAAGCAATCGGTAAGTTTACAAATTGATTTTTCAAACAAATCTCGCCAATCTCTTTGAACATTTTCCGTTTTGAAATGCTCCTCTGTTAACAGGCGCAGCAGATTTCCCAATGTTCGAACAGCATTACAGCGAACCTTATCGTTATCACTACAAGCGGTTGTAGACACCTTAATCATTCGATATAGTAGGTCGTCGGAAATTCTTTCCGGATTCGCTTTGCTATCCACAAGTTTCCCAATTAAGGCATCACTTATGTTGCCCAACGCCCAGAACGATTTTACACGCACGAGTAAATTGGAATCTGCTACTAGTCGTAATGTTAGATCAGCTGTGTTTTCCACAAATACCAAATCACCACGCAGAGAGGGATAGAGTACATATACGGCTAATGCCCGAACAGCTGCTGCCCGCACAATGGGTTCATCGGAACAGTCTGAAGCAACGCCCGATAGGAAACTCAGCAGAGATAATTGAATGGATTGCGAACAGTTTTCAAACATAATAACGCCGATATTTGACAAGACATCACATAAGACAATTCTTACGGTACTGGTTTCATCACGATCCCTTCGAATGTGGTCCATTAGTATTGGTATTATGTCCCTCCAAAACGTGCTATAACACTTGACTTCTGCTTGAGAAGAAGATGTGTTCGAAGCTTCCATTATTTGGCGGCTGATTTGAAAGGCACAACTGTCTATACATCGAGCTGCATATAGGCGAACATCTGGTAATGAATCATCCATAGCCTGTTTCAGCACCACAGTAACGTTTGCCAGGTGAGGCTTTAGCATAGAGAAATTTAAACACATCGCTGTTAATACCTGTAGACTTTCTATACGTATCGATGCGGCTACCGTTGCATTGCCATTGCAAGATAAATTATGTAACACACGCAAAAGTAACCAGAAATGTCCATTCACTGGTGGATGTTCTGACATTTTTACGCTGTGGGAACTAAGCATGTCGTTATCGCTCTTGGATTTTTCATCGTCACTCAAATCAGATTCCACATATTCTTCATCATTTATAATATCTAAATCGTCCTCGCCAAGCATATTGGGGGATTTGGCGAAGCTTCGTATGCCCGTACCCTTGGGAAGCCCCACTGCTTCGGCTATCTCTATACAAGCATCTGTAGAACTTATAAGGAATTCCAAAACCATTAAAGATGACACTTGAATGGCAGCATCACGATGATATATAAGCGGCCTTACATGTCGAACTAAATTTTGTATAAATTCTTTATCGAACTTTTGAAATGGTGTTCCTTGAACCAAAACTGCTAAACATTTTAATGTCTGAGTAAGAACGGGTAATGAAGATTCAGTTGAAAGCATTGTTGTAAGGGATTGATATATGGCGAGTGTTGTATGACCCAGACTGACGGAAAATGGTATGAATGTTGAAGGACAGCGTTTTTCATTGATTTCAGCTTGATGTAAAAATCCCTTTGAACCATATAAAAGTTGAGCACATACTTGTATTGCAGCACATCGACAGCGCATATTAGGATCGTGTTGGCCCACATAAAGCAAATTGTCCACAGAATCGCCTATTAAAATATAAATTTATTAGCACAGATATCAAATGTTTAACATAGAGACTAGAAGTTATTTTTTTGTTACACTGTCGAACTAATGATGATATATGAGGGAGGGAACAATTGTAGATCCACTGTCTTTCGGTTTTCTACTTTCCAAATAAAAACGCTTTAGAGACACCCCACATTAGAGCAATCGGCGGTTCGTGGCATGAGGCCAATGCGAGAGAAATGTGAAAAATAATCATCCTGTAAGTTTTCAAGGCGGAGTTTATAAAAAAGTAAACCCAAAATCATTAAACGCTAATATGAATTATATATTGATAAGTAGCAATTTGAATCAAGGTCTGAAACAAACAACTATACACTACCAGTTGTCCTTGGTACAAAAAACTAATTCAATTATTGAATGAATCCTTTCTGAAAACTACGTCAAATAAATTCAAATTAAATTGAAATGTGTATGGTATGTGTATACAAATTTGTGTCGCTTTCGTCTAGAAGAAATTACTATGATATGGACGAAACAATTCTCTACTAGACTTTGTTAAGAAATCGCTGCTTTTTTCTACCTTTAGTTACATTTAAATCCTTTTTTCAACTAGAGGAATGACAGTATTATCTAATGGATTTCTAATTCTAAGATGCCTCAAACAATATATTTTTATTTAAATATGTTATTATAATTAAGCTAACTTGTTATACATATGTATGTACGTATAGATATGTCTATACATTGACATTGTACGGATTTCGTTGCTAACAATAATAAAATTCTCATAAGTATCAAGAGAGTCCTATTTCAATACTTTCATATCATTCAATTACCTGTACCACTGGGAAATAAAGCATGCCAGTATCCATATAAAATCCTTCGCTCCACTGTTTTTACTATACTTCCAACTAATGATATTGATGCCAGACGAATCTTTGCCATTTTGTTTCGTTCAAAAAGTACATTATTTCCGGCACTTTCTTGCTCAGACGTATCAGAATCACTGGTTTTCATATCCATCGACAAAAGGGTACCCTTTCGTTCTGGACTGGAATTAGGTACTTTTCGATCGTGGTTGCTATTGGTCTTTATGCGAGGTTTGCGATTTTTTTGAGCTTTACCACCACAGCTTCGAATCCTTTCCGCATTAATATTAGAATCAAAATCTTCTGCCGAATCATATAAAGCCTGTTGTGACATATATACTCTCTGGGGCGCTGATGGCACACTGTCAATTTGTTCGATACCGAAATGTAAATACGCTCTAGATAAACCAAGAAGTTCTGATATATTTTTTCTGGCAAACTCTGCGTTTATAGAGATAATGCAATTGATCATCTGCAAAGAATGAAGCAAGTATGTTGGTACAATGTCCACTCCCAATGTTGCTACATAATCATGACTGTTGTAAAATAACATTAGCATTTTGCCACCAATTTCAGCGCACGTATCAACAATTTCATTAGTTGGGCTTGTCTGTCCGCAATTCAAAGCACCAACCATGCAGTCCAGGCACCGAATGATATTTATAATTACATCTCTTCCGCTGTCCCAGGTAAGATGATTTGTCAGTCCTCTTGCAGTTTGAGCGAAATACTCATTGATATTCATTGGTTGTGTCGTCAAGATGCTGCAGAATACACTGCATATCTTTGATACAGTATCCGTGTCATCATTACTATTCCGCAAAATTCGAATTAACGATTGCACGACCTGGTCAACTTGTGAAGTATTGAAACATGACAGTTTCTTCTGTTCTTGAAGGTGTGTCACCAAGGCAACAACACAAACGACGAGAATCTCGTCTGGAATCGAGTTATTGTTGGTGACAAAACGGATGATTTCATCTATTATTCTTTGTTGTTGCGCTTTATTTTCACAGCCATACTTTACTACATGGTCAATTAGATTGGTAACTTCCAAAAGATCTTTATTTTCGGACCGGCAACGGCGCAGATGGTTAATAGTCGTCTCGAAATTGTTCATTGTATGCAATAAATTTCGTTTTAGTGATGAGAAATCCATTGCAACACAAATTGATGACTGATATTTGCCAGCAATGTGTTATCGAACCACATTATTATCGAATATTTTCTGTAATAGCATGTTCATACGTAACACTTAAAACTTCAGCAGAAAAACATTTCAGAAAGAAAAAACGATGGCAATAAATGGCATAAAATTCTTTCAGTAAAATCCAGACAACATTAGTAACAAAGAAAATTAGCTATTCGGAATAAAATGGAGAGGGATAAAGATAGTCAAAATTACAATCGGAACATGAAGGGGCCAAACAAATTAGGTCCTTATACCCAAGATAAGGCGAAATAAAAGGAATATATATATATATATATTTATATATATAATAGCCCATATATCTCTCCCTTTTACATTTAGGTTTTGTAATGATAAAATTTATATTTAATTGTGAAATGTATGCATAAAATAAATAACAGCATAAATCTGAAATATTGGGTAAGGATTGCCAGCCTTAGCGTCAACATTAATTTTTGTGAGGATTGTCATCGTTAAGTATTAGGCATATTTGTAAGAAGTTCGTTCGTGAAAGTTAGGACAAAAATATAGTTTATTATAAAGAAAGATCACAAAAATAATGAAGTTTTTTACTATTTTTTCGTTATAATAAAAGAAAATTTATTATGCCTAATGCTTAAATTGTAGGACGAACATTTTTATTTTAAACAGTAATACATAAAAGGTCTGTTCTCGTACTGCAAGAATCTATTACTTTTCAATTTCAATTTATTTTTCATAAACGAGAATCTAGCCCAAAGGGCCAAAAGCGATTCAAAAAACAACAAAATATAATATAAACTACTCCAAAAGCTTAAAACTAACAGTGTATTAGCTTAATGTTATCTTAACGACTATTCAGTTGGAGGGGTTCAGAACCATTGTACTTCAAAAACATTTTTATTATTATTATTCCATTATTTGATGCAGCGACCTATCACATAGGGCAAAGGACTTCAATATTATATCTACTCTCAACCACTAAATTCAATTTACAGGTTCAAATATCTTATTATTATATCACAATTATCAATTAAAAAAAAAATATAAAAAAAATATAATATATTATAGTTAAATTTATTTAAATGTTGAAATCAGTTATGCAATAAAAACACAAACAAATAAGCAAAACCTATGAATTTAAGATGAATTGAGGTTGAAGTAATCGTATAAATGAGTTCGATAACATTTTAAGGAAGAGTTAAATGTTTTAAGAGAAGGCGGTAAGGTGTTAAAAATTCTAGAAATTCGTACAAAAAAGGCTTTTTCCAATAAAGGACACAAACGCGGAACAAGTATTTGTATGTTTCTAACAGATCTAGAAAACATAAACAAATCAACTACAGAGGAAGGAGTCTGCAACTTAAATACCTTATAGAACAACAACATTGACCTTAAACTCACAAAACTTTCAAAGGTACAACCGAGGAACTCTTTAACGTAAGGAGAAATGTGATCACGACGTTTAACACAATATACATATCGCATAACCCTATGGAACAATAGTTTAATTTTACGTAAAACATATCCACAACAACCCCCAAAAATCTCAATACAATACAAAAAATTTGGCATAATCAATGCATGGGCCAATTGAATTCTAATGCTCTTAGGCGGAGCCATATCCAAAGAGTACAACTTTCTTAAAATAAAGTTTACCTTGGACACCAAAGAATTAACATGCACATCAAACACCAAACTACTATCAAGAAACAAACCAAGACATTTCATAGAGCTTACAACATTTATAGAATTATTATAAATGGAAACATTTACTGAATTCTCTTGCAAGTTCCCAAAAAACATAACTTTACTCTTACGTGTATTAATTGAGAGTCCGTTTGCAGATAACCACGTTACTAACACATTGATATTAAAATGTATAGAGGACTGCAAAACATCTAAAAACACATATTCTCCTTTAAACAAAATCTGCAAGTCATCAGCAAATGCAAATGACATGCAGCTCCTACTACTAATACAACTTAGCAAATCATTAACATACATAACAAACAATAGAGGCCCAAGTACAGACCCCTGGGGTACACCACTACTCACAGGGAGCATTCCAGAAACAACATTCCTACAACAAACATACTGCTTCCTTCCAAACAAATACGACGAAATAAGCTTACAAGCTGAGGACGAAAAATTGAACAAACGATGCAATTTTCTTATTAAATTAGCGTGATTAATTTTGTCAAAGGCTTTCTCTAAGTCTACTGACAACAACACACAACAACCTCCCGTACCAACAGTCTTCCTTATATTGTCAGTCAATCCAACGAGAAGAGATGCAGTGCCGCGATTACTCCTAAACCCATACTGGCTCTCATGTAATAGAGAATTTTCACCAATATAAACTAGCATTTGATCTTTCATGACATACTCAACCATTTTAGAAAGAATCGGCATTATAGATATAGGCCTATATTCACTAGAATCACCATTCTTTTTTTGAATTGGCACTATTTTTGCAATTTTCCACATCTCTGGAAACACAGACATTGTTAACATAGAATTGACAACGTGCAACAAAAATTGACCAACAAGGGGGAAAACAAGTTTTAGAAATTTTAGCTGAAATCCATCATAACCAACTGCCGTGGACTTGATTTTATTGAAAGCATCAACAATCTCAGCATAATCAATTGCACGAAAGGAAATACCATCAAAAGCATCAACAGGAATACAAGAAACATCAAAAACATCTACGGATTGATTCGAAACAAAAGCTGAATTCAGAGCCTCAACATCAACATTCCCGACTTCTCTGTCATCAGTACACAAACCGTTTTTATTTAAAATTGACCACACTTCCTTTGTGGATTTATTAGCAAACATATCCCTATGAGCAATAAATTTTAGTTTTCTTATAGTTTTTTTGGCTCGGTTACGACAGCGACAAAACAATTTCCAATTTTCAACACTTTTGTCCCGAAGATAGGACCTATAAGAAATGTCACGAAGAGACAAGTGATACCGAATTTCAGCAGACTTAAACCAGTCATCTTTATTAATTTTACAAAATCTCCTTTTGACAGGAACTACACTATACAAGTGCCGAAGACCACAGTTCAATATATCAAGCTGGGCATCAACATCTGCCACAGAATAAAGCTCACCAAAGTTGTATGTATTAAAGGCGCTGGAAAGCGCCACAGGATCAACAGAACTGAAATCTGCATATTCATAAAAACTCTGCACACAAAAACTGGGAACATTAATTGATAGAAAAATGAACGAGTGATCAGAAATACCAGGGCACAAAAACTGATTTGAACATGCTACCAAACTCAGACACGACACAAAAAAATAATCCAACAAAGAAGTAGAGGTATGCGCAATATCGACGTGTGTGGGCATTGAGTTGTGGACAACAGATAAATTTAATCTGCTACAAATTTCCCTTACAACTAAACTTCGCTGCAGATCAAACATATTATTATTGAAATCTCCCATAATAATAACATTTGAGTACCTAACAACAAGATCAGAAATTTCATTTTCAAAAGCCACAATATCGCCATGTGGCAAATAAACCACACCAACAAGAAACACACAATTGCTTACAATTACCTCGCAGAAAATATATTCAACAACTCCATAAGAACTTCCTCTGCACACAAATTTATGTTTAATATTCTGAGAAACATACATTACAACACCACCTCCTCTATTACAAGGACGATCACTCCTATAACAAAAATAACTTGGTATTTGTATAGCTTCTGTGGAAACAATAGGCTTTAACCAAGTTTCTGTCAAGATTACGCCAAAAATTACAAGATTATCACCCTCTAAAATATTCCTCAATTCATGGATTTTAAAAGTATTCTTACTCAAATTAAAAGTTCTGAGATTTACATATCCTACATTAATATTGTTTTTAAAATTGCATAACTGACTTCTAAGAAAACTATTATCACTAACAATATTACCTAAATTAGTTGAAAAATTCATTATCTGACTGTATAATTTAAATGAGCGTAAGAAACAAAATTAAATCCAGGAAAAAAATAAAATTAATAAATAATAAATAAATAATTCAACTACTACGATAACAAATTTGTCTTTATGATATCGGAAAAAATAGTAAAAAGTAGTTAATTCTTGCAGTAAGGGAACAGAACATAATTGTTCTGTCCACGTACTGCAAGATTCTACTGGTTTTATCGATATCATAAAGGAGAATTTGTTATCGTAAAATGTTGTAGATTCTTGTTGTACGGGAACAGACCAAAATATGAATATTATACAGAGTAAATTTTAGCATTAATATGGTTTTTTCCCGTACTGCAAGAATCTACTAATTTCGTAGTAAAAAATAGAATCTTGTAGTACGGAAAAATACCACTAATTTATAAAATGTCTGTTCCAGAATCTGCAAATAGGTAGAATGTTTTTCTACGATAGCAAATTTTCCTTTATTATACCTACAGAAAATAGTAAAAAAATAAAATAGTGCTGGAACATACCAAAATTCTCAGTAAACAACTGGCAACATTTTTCTCTTAACTCACTCTCATGTACACAATTTTGTAAGCATATGTGAATTGGTTAGGTTATACTTACGATGTAAATAGTTTATAATTATAAAATAATATTAAACGTTTGTATGTACACGTACATATTTATTGGAATTCATTCTAAAACAACGAGTTGTTAATTCAAATATGTATATAGTATAGTTATGTTATATAGTATGTATATCAAATTAAATACAATTTGAATTAATTATTAAAGGATATCATTAAAATAACACACCATAAATAAAAAAAATACAAAATTATAATTTATGAGTTCAAACAATTCACGATGACAAATTTTTCATAGAAATTCACATTTTTAAATTAATTTGGTAAAAGTTAATGGTTCCTAATTAGCGTATTATATGTACAGATTACTTCATTATTTTATTTGTTTGATAGTTGTAGTAGTAGTAGTTTTCATTTCTAAAAATCTAAATGTAGGCATTCTAAACTACAAAGGTTTTATTTGTCGTATAGGGATAAATTAGATAGTCTGAATATTACTTATGTTCTTGTTGGCGATCTTTTATCATCTTCAAAAGGACTTGATTCCCAGATCCTCCTCTAGCTCGTTTTCTGTCTGCGTCATTTGTTGTATCATTTAAGCCGAACGGAAGATTTCTTTTACCCTTGCTGCTTATAATAGCGTTTATTTTCTCGAGGTCCTTAAAACAGATTAATTAATAGTGAGTGAAACAGTCACAATTTTTATTTTATTTGGTACCTTTCCAGGACTGCGACAAAATTCAAATGTCAATTGGTTTGGTGATGCTGTGTACTTCTCCATTTCATTTTTGTCCATAGAGTGAACAAAGAAGCAGTGGTTACTAGAAAGTTGTCGTGGAAAAGTCTGTTTCTCAGTCGGGTGTGGCGACAGCAGAAGATCGCTATCCTGAAAACGGATTGTAATGGTTTATGTAACCGTTTATTCTTTTTCGCAAAAAATACTCACGGCTCGTTCTTGTCTATTGCTAAAATTCCATGCATATGGCGTCATCTTTTGCATATAAATTTCATTATAGAATTTTATAATGTCACCGACAACTGAAACAAAATATTACAAATTTACACAACTTCTAATAAAATTCAATGAATCTCAACACATACTTTTCTCTCCATTTTCAGTTTTTATTAAGACCTCCCGATATATGCTGCTGGTAGCCTGTGGCTGCTTTCTGTAAAATTTCATAATATCTCTGAACAATTTTCCGCTAACTTCTCCGACCTGTGAAATCAAACATAATTACTTTACCAGAAATGTAAGCACTCTATTGCATTTACCTTTATGTATAGGTATATTGCACACATAAAAATTTGATCTAAATGTCTGTCCTGCATTAACTCAGTTTTTTGTGTTATTGAATATTCAAATAGGGTCCATATTTTTTGAATCATATCTTCGCCAAGGTCTAGTTCCTTGCACAATTCCTTTATACGTAACCAAGCAAGTTTATAAAACTACATTCATATAAAGGTTATTGTATTAGAAGAATTAATTTCAAACAATTTATTTCATATATACCTTTCTGAGAAATAGTTTCAATGGCGTTGAACGTCTTGGAGCATTTAATTGTCTATTAAGGTCAGTTGTCCTATTAGCCGATGTTGTTTCTGTAATTTGAAGAGTCGTGTTATCGTTGCTATCTTAATACAATTCATTTTTAAGTGATTACCTCTTGGGGTGTTAAAAAGGTCTCTTCTGACAGATTCATTCACTATAGGTGTAGTCGATGTACTAAATGTATCAAAGGCGGAATTCATTGGTGATTGTACTAATTAATAAAATATATGTATATATAAATTATAGATGAAAACATTAAGTTTAAACACTATTACATACATTGAGGCTCCGTGCTGTCTATGTGCCCAACTTTAACTTCTGACCAGGTTGGTAATGGCATAGGTTCCCTCTTTATCAATTCCCATAGAGGAGAATTCTTCTTCCAAGCCAAGGATTCAAGACATGTCTCTTCGATTAAATTCAAGTGTTTTATAAGTTCACGGTTGAGAATATTGTCGTGACTTCGCACTATGATCTCAATCAACTTGTAGAACTCAAAAGCATTAATACCGAAACATTTTAAAATCCATGGAAACTTTAGTGGAGAATCGTATGCATCAAGAACAATTTCAACACTGCATGCAATTAACGTTGTATTAAAGCTATCCTTTTGAAAAAGAACATTGAGATCGATAGGTTTTTGTCGGATTTCGAAGTGTAGTATTTTGTCTAGCAAATAGTAATACAATGACTTTGCCAGTTGAAACTTGTTGACGGACTCCTCTTTGTTAGGGAATTCGTTGCTAAACAACTTGGACATGTAGTTCACTTTATCATGGATTTTCTTCAAAACATCCTCACTAGTCGATTTCCTAGAAAAGTCAATTTAATTTGAAATACATTTTTATTGTATTTTACAGCAAAATGCTATACTAACCTTATAAATTCAGATGGCTCTGTAATATGGGAAATTTCTCGTAATTTTTTAACATTATTGGTAGCATTTGCTACGGGATCAAATACACCATCTTTGCTTGGAAGGCTCTCCTTGCGGGTATAGGGTGTATTTGGCATCAACGATTTTATATCCTAAAAATCATTTACATTACAAATCAATACGTTTTTATATTATTTCAATATTCCTACCGGATGCAAGTCAATTTTTATTCCAGATGATTCGTCTATTAAAAAATATTATTATTAAATGTTCATTTTTATAAGGTATTTGAACTTACGAGAACTGTTAATTTTACGGTAGTCCAATAAAATTCGTTCGTCTAATTCGGCCATATTCAAAACATACAATTCATATGCACCTTTCAATGACCTTAAGTTCCTTTCAAAATTTGCATTCGAGATCAATGTATCTTCGGTGCCATACAAAGTCTAAATAAAAATATCGTCATTAGACAGAGTGTTAATATGCGAAATATAAATTCTCTACAAACATTAGCATTCAAAAACGTCTTAATGATTCCCTTAAATGTGTCCTTCATATTTTTGGCATCTAGCGGCGATGCATTTGTCATACTGCAAAGTGGCTCAATAATGCAATAGTCCTTCAAGATTCTTATGTCGAATTCGGGTTTGCCCCATTTTGGCGGTACACCCACAAACTTGGGATTTATGAGATCAGGATTTTCATTCAATACATTCCTATAGACCAAGTCTATACACCAGATCAATAGGTGGAAAGACATGACAATGTCTGTAACTTTGTTCTGATTTTTAGCACAAAGATACAGACACCAACATATCTCAAACAATTTGCCATAAGGGCACTTTGCAGATCTGTATTGAAAAATAAGTTTAGTAGATCAAACAGACGAAAATAGAAAAGTGATTATACCTGAATTTGCAACTCTTCTTTTCATTTGGTGGTGGTACGAAAAGCTGCTCAAAAATATCTGCATAACGAATGAAAACATTTGATGTTATGCTATAGCTGCGTTCCATTTTATTGATTTGGTTTAAAAACGACTCTGGAAGTTTCGCCATTTCGTGCCACTTTCTCATTTTGGATGTGAATTCGTGAATGCTAAAATGAAATTCGTTGGTAAAAAATTGTCCGTAATATGTAAACATTTCACAATCTAACGTACCTCATATTACAACTGCGTAGCAACTTAATTACAGATATACAGTTGCCCAAGACGACATCGTTGGTCCCACCTACTGTCGGTGTATACGATCCACGACAAGCAGCATATAGGGCACAGCAAAACCAATGAAGAGTTTCTCCCTGCAACGAAAGCAAGATTTTTTCTTTGTGTATTGCCGAAAGGTATTGAAGCCAATTGGCAAACATCTTACCTCCAAAGAAAATCTTTGCGAAATTTCGATAAATTTATTCCAAGACAATTCTTCAGTCTCCCTGTCCATATTGAGTTCTCTGCATAATTCCTCATATCTGGATCGAATTGAATCGGCAGATCCATCTTCTCGAGATTGGGTCATTTTGTTGTTATTATGTTTATGGGTCGGTCTGGTTTATTTACTTTATACACTTGTACTCCAATCCGAATACACTTCTACTATATAGTTCACATTTACAACTAATATTGACTTCCCTAATCCCGTATAGCTTTTAACGCCTGGGAGAAATAATTTAACAATATAATGGCCAATACCCTCTAATTGGTCAAAATACACAAATATCCACGAAAAAAACAAATGTCACAAAGAAAAAAAGGCGCGACTTTAGGGATCTGTAAATCAAATTTCGATCAAACATGTTATCGAATACCAAGAATCGAAATTTAAGGTATAAACTTATTTCTCGATTACCATCGTTGAATTTTTTCTTTAATTTTATGATCTCTCTGACCATGTATTCCTATATATTGATTTTAAATTAAGATATAAAAATATTCAAAATATCACTAAATTAGTAAAAAATTTAAACCAATAAAACAGTTACAAAATCAACAAATACTCTTTTAAAATTTCGTAACGTATCAATTTTAAAGTCTCAGGCACATCCAGTGCATGGGTCCATTGTGCCATCCGTTGCGTCATTTATTATCAATAATTCAACAATATGGTGACGATCAGGCTAAGCAGAATGGCCGCGGTGTGCATTTAAAAAAAAGTTAAAATAAATTTAACTCCAAAGAGCAATGCATTTTCGTTTATTTTCGATAACCGATAACCCTTTAAAGGCTAAGTAGAATGTTCGCGATGAGGCTTTTTTGTTATCGCGTTAATGCACGAAAATTGTTAGGATATATTTAACTCCGAAGCGCAACTCACATCAACTTCAAGCGTTAGTGTTATCGTTTTGTTGCCGAATTTACTGGATGTTGTTCGATAACTTTGCTATTTTTCATTCAGCTAGTTATCAGACAAACCTAATATTGGTAAAAGAAAATAAAAACCGTTATTCTGTCTATTTACTAGGGAGATATCTCGCTTGTGAACATTTTTTCTCTTTCACATTCTCGCCTTATTCTGAATAAATGGGAGAAACAAAAAAATGCGAGATGCGGATTCGAATCTTCGAAAGTGATGGTCCAAAAAGATTCGTGTTGCCATATTGTAATTTAAGTTGTAATGTGTGTTGCCCAATTGTAATTTTATTTATTTGTAATATTTTATTTATTGATTTTTTTATTAAAAATTGTTACTTTTTATTGTTATTTAAACTTTATAGCAATACAAATGCGAAATATCAAGAAAAATATTAACCATAAAACAGTTTTAAACCATTCACACAAAGCTGGATTCAAAAATAAGCTCGATGTTTGGGTATCACACCAATTAACAGAAAAAATAGGATGGATCCAATTTCCATCTGGGAAGCCTTGACCAAACGGAATGAGATAGACCCATTTCTTAAACGGATGGTGATTGGATACGAAAAAGATCGTGGGCAAACGGTGGCCAAACCAGGGCTAACGGCCAGGAAGATTCTGCTATGCATTTGGTGGCACTGGACAAACGATGAATTCTGATCGCTACTGTCAAAAACTGGGCCGTTTGAAGAAAGCAATTTGCCAGAAACGGCCACACGGAGAGATATCGTATTCCACCAGGACAACTCTAGGCCACACACATCTGCAGTGATTCGCCAGAAACTTTGGGAGCTCGGTTGGGAAGTTTTAATGCAACCGCCATACAATCCGGACTTTGCACCAAGCGATTATCATATTTTTCTTGCATTGCAAATTAATGATAAAAATTGGTATTTTTGCAAATAGAGAGCAGGACGTCTGCGAGGCATTATGAAGTTATCTTTAAAATGGCAACAAATCATACAACAAAACGGTGTATATTTGGCCCAAATCGCACTTTCCGAAGCATGTTAAATAAAGTTCTATAGTTCATATAAAAATAATGGATTTCTTTTTCCCCAACCTAATGTAATAATTAGGAATCAGTACCTTGACTCAGATATCAAGTCGATTAATGTGGCAAACTTTTTAATCATTATACCGAATTCATGGTATAATAATAAAAGGTAACAGCAAGTGTTGTTGTACAAAAAACGATACAACAACCACATGGAAATTTGTTGTTGTAAGTTCTACTAGTGTCAACTCATTTGACAGAAAAATGTAAACAAACAAATTATCATCAAATTATTTTTATTTTGAAAATGGAATATTTTCGAATCCTCAAAATAAAAATTGAAAAACATGAATGAAAATCTATCAAATTTATATTTTTATCGCTTCCACATCTTTCCTTTAATTGAGCCATTGCCATAAATATGGGTAACACATATGACAATGCTGGGAATAGCGAGTTATTCCTTCAAGAAAGATTTGCTTCCTCAAACTTTCCCAGCAGGCAGATTGAGTAAATTGAATACGGGAGCACATTAATAAAGAACAATTTCAAATTGTATGCGTTCCCAATTTTCCTGTTGGGTGATTTTTAAAAACATAATTTGTCAAATTCATATTGACACTAGTATTACGTTGGAATCAAATCAGCTGGGATTTGCTGTTACCTTTTATAATTATACCATGTACCGAATTCAACGAAGCGTACAAAAATATTCAACTTCCCCACTATGGTAAAATGTTTTGTACGGCCGTATTACCGAAATACGTCGAATCCATTTTTCTTAGCGAACTAAACAAAATCGCGGAATAAAATTAAGAAATTATAAAATGTGTTGAAATATTTCATATTCTTATTGAAAAAAAAACTATATTTCTTTATGTTTTGTTTCTTTTTTCAACAAAAGAAAAAAAACAAAACTACGTTCTGTCATAGTTGAATTTTTTCAACTTTGAAAATTTGTACGTCGACGTCAAGGTAGATACATAAGGTAGCCGCATCGGCGAATTGGGAACATGATATGTCAAAATCAAGGTAGATATACAAGGTAGCCGCATCGGCGAATTTCTACAACAAACATCGGTTGTTGTATTTTGATATGTCAAAAATATTTTGCCAAAACAAACAGATTGGCAAGATTTTTTTACACAAATTCTTGTAGAAAATGTTAATAAAAGTATTGCCAAAAAATCTCTTCGAAATTCGGAGATTTTCATTCATAATTTTATTTTTTATTTTTTTGGTTCAACATTACAACAACATTTTTGACATTTATTTGTCCAACAGCTGGGCCGATGCGGCTACCTTATTAAATATACCTTGGTCAAAATAGTTAACAAGGCAAATAATAATTGATTCGCCGTAACATATCAAATTTGAAGCGAATTTCATTCAACCAATCAGAATTCAGCATTTTGAAATATTAAAAATATTTGTTTACTTTTTAGTAATTTTTAAAATTATGAATGTTTGTGCAAATTCAGATTGGTGATTGAAAAAGAACATCAAACCGCGACTTAAATTCAATGAAGAACTTAGGAACGGAAGCGGGCGTTGACTATTTATCCTTGAATTTTAATGCATTCCATGGAATGAAATTCGAAACAAATTTAAATATACCATGATAAAGGCATACAAAACGTGTTTCGGTGTCGGAAATCTAGCAAAATTTAACTGCTCCAAGATTCACAAATACGGACAAAATATTCTGGGTGTAGAATCCACTATCTTTTTTCTGTTTAAATTTCATCTCCTTTAAGGGTAGAGTTTGTTCTTATGTTATCTGTTGTATCAACTGAAATTCAAGTCATATCTGTGTGCCCATCCATCTGTACTTCATTAAGTTATGATGTTCATTCCGTTCTGGTCAAAGGCAAAACCAATAGTTTTGGCAATGATATTTTGAAATGGACCAATAACTTTATTTCATTTTCTATGAAGGTCATAACTATGGTATTGTTAGAGGCTGAAGTATAAGATAATCACCGCATAGTTTTGCTCCGCAAAAAATTTAAGTCCAATATTCCAGATTTATGTTATTGGTTTTTTTAATTCTTTCACAACATGTATTTCAATAAAAAGCAAACGCATTGTTTTTGTTTTTAAATTTAAATTCTCTTTTTATCTACCTACGGCGAATTAAAATAACAAAATTCTGTTTGACATATAATGTTACCATCAGCTGCCTTGATACGGTTACCTTATAAATATACCTTGGTCGACGTATTTCGGTAACATTCATATAAATACATGTGTTCTACTTTTGTGGTGAAAAACGTCGAACGAACTAGTTGAATTTTAGGTAAGGCTGTAAGGCTGTAAAAAATGCAAAAAAAAAAAGTATAAAACGGAATAGTTTTAATACATGTAGAGGGAAGTAAATATAAATTATATAAAAAAGGTATGTTCTGACTCTGGAACGTACAATATATGTACGTTTCAAAATCTGACATTTTGTGATCCGAGTTATATGTTTGTATACATATGCATTTTTATTGCTTTCTATTATATACTAAATTCTAAAGTAACAATATACATAATAAGTATATTAATGGTTTCTAAATACAATATTTAAAGACGAGTATTAGTTGGAGTTTAGTAGTTGCTATTTACAGATCCGTCAAATGGTCCCATATTGTCGCCAAAATCTTGCATTTCTTCATCTAGAGCATCGTCAAAATCGTCTATTAAATCCTTTGCTTCGGGACAATTTCTGCAACGACTTTCGTTTACGCCATAATTAATACATGTTGAACCCACGCACTCGCAACAGCCATCGTGGAACCACCTTAAAAATTATATATTGGCTGTTATTTTCTCCTCAATAGCATCGATATTTTTGTTGTATTACCTGTAGCTACTTGCTCCGGTACTCTGACAACTTTGACGGCACTTATTCCACGATATGCACTGATCAAGATAAATCACTGTACAATTGACAACACCCATGTTGTTCCGTTCTTTAGCAGTTCCATCTAAATGTTTATCATTGTTTTCCATAGGAAAACTGTGAAGTTTGGGACCAGACAATACTTTATCAAAATCAATTGGGAACGTAAAAATGTTCCAGTTGAAATCGAGTTCATCTGCTGGGGAAGATACTAAAACATCAAAAAGTTCGGGAACGCCTTCAAAATCTTCAACGTGCGACTTTTTGGAGAAAAAGTTTCGTGTATCATTTTGTTTTGGGCAAAGTTCTAAAAAGAAGTATAAATAATATTAAATGTGGATAATTAATTATTAGATAAAAATGATGAAGTCATTCTTCAAGTCTGGAAACTAATTCCAGTTGCAATTAATTAATAATTACAGACAGTTTTCCGTTAAATAGATATGGAACTCTATAATAAATAAACAAATTTGGTTGTTCCCGTACTGCAAGCATCTACAAGATTTTACTATTTTTTCCGTTATCATAAAGGAAAATTCGTTATCGTAGTAAAAAGTAGTAGATTCTTGCAGTACGGGAACATACCAATTGTATATTTAAATTAATGACACTGTGACATGTTTTTCATCTGAAAGCTTTGTGAGACTATAACCATGTGAAAAAGGCATCCAATCCAAACGGGGCTTGAGAAGAGTGGGTTGTTATTCCTTTGACTATCTTCCTATTGTACATTGTTAAACGAATTAATTGCATGTTCTAACCCAGTGCGAAAAATAATCGCCCATGTGACATGTTCCGAGAGTTTTTGAATTCCCATGTTGTGCAAAATGGTGTGCTCAATTTCGAGCGAAAGTGCGACTCGAAAGCATAGCTGTGTTCAATATGTTACGAAATGTGTTCAATAAAAAACATTTGCAATTTGTTTACAAACAAAATTAAGAAAAAAATATGCCTGCTGGCTTATTAATTGCCCTGGTTTCTACCAGAAAAAGTCTAATGATACTGGAACGTGTTAAAATAAGCATTTATGGATATTTTGAGAGAAGTGGGTCCTTTCATACACAAGGGTGCCATTCCCGAAAGCCTCCAGTTAGCAAGTACATTTAGATGTCTTGCTGTTGGTGGGTTTCAGAGGGTAGTGGAAAATGATTTAAATATAAGTGTTGATCGCACAACAATGTGTAAAATATTGTGGAGAGTAATGAAAGTCCTGAAAGACAAAGTGTGTGCAAGCTGTGGACAGCTGCAGACCAGGATCGAATTATATTCCCAATTCGGAATGGAGCACACCAAATTTGGGAAAATGTTTCACATTCGAGCAAACTCTAAATGCAGCACATGGGCGAATATTGCTTTTTGGATAATATCTCTAAGCAAAATTTTTAGATCTTGTTAAGGGGTAAAATTTGATAAAAAGTGAAAACCAGTACATCTAGTAGTTCACGTGATAATCAGTACTTTTTTTAAACCCACCCCAAATCGAAAAAATGAAAAAGGGGGTTAAACAAAAACCTTAAGTAATAATTTAAAACCCATCTGGATTTATATTCTACCATCATAAGCTTTCAGATTTTGGCGGTCCCGATTAGTTCAAGATTTTTTTTTTCATATGGTCATTTTGAAGAGTCACTACCGAAGATAACACGTCCATTTTGTCATAATGTGAACATTTTGCTCATTGTTTTCTTCGTCTGCAATGATGTGGTGCAACATGAATTCTTCCCACAAGGTCGTATGGATAATATGGAATACTACATGAAGCGCCTTTTGCGCGAAACTATCAGTCAGAAATGCAAAGAATTGTAAAAACAATCATAGATTTTGCACCATTATAATGCAATAGCTCACACATTGAATTTTTGTCCACAAACAAATAAAAAACAGACACATACTTCATATATGCAAACAATTCGTACATTTATTTCGCAGACTATAAAGTGAAAAAATATATGAGCGAAGAGGTAAATTTTATCCCCATCTCCAAATTTAAATATTATTGGTCTGTTCCCGTACTGCAAGAATCTACAACTTTTTACTACGATAACAAATTTTCCTATATGATATCGACAAAAATAGTAGAAACTAGTAGATTCTAGCAGTAAGGGAACATACCATATGTTTGTAACCATGGCATAATTATACAAGGTAGTCTCATGCAGTCATATGTTTCTAATTTTTTCATAAATTTACCTTTGACAGTATTCAGCTTTTAAAATTTAAATGTTCAGTGGCAATAATTGCTAAATAATTTATATTTATAAAAATTTAGAAATTACATGCCTCTAAAAAATAAGATGTAACAACCATGGTTAAATCTTGAGAGCAATGTTCAGCATTAGAAAATCTATTTTGTTTAATTTATTAAAAATATGCCATTTGAAATACATAAAATTTTTTGGAATTAATTTTTCATATTATATAAAAAAACTAATTAAAACATAAATTCAAAATTAAAAGGCTCAAATTCTCAAATGAGACTACCTTCTGTAGTTATGCCATGTTTGTATAATCTCCGAATTTTGAAAAGCATGTTCAGCAATAAATTTACTAACATTTTCTGAATTAATTTGTGTAAAAAATCTATGAGTCGTTTTCTTTTTGCAAAATATTTTTGACATACGAATGTAATAAAATAGTTGTATTATGGAACTACACCACAAATAATTATGAAACTACTGTTTTGGTTTTTGCAAAACATGAAAGGTTTTTTTGTAAAGAAGCAATAAATAGCATCTGAGGAGAATATCCCAACAAAAACTAAGTGAACTGATTAGGGTCAGTGGCTAGATCCGAAACAATAGTCTTCCCGGCTTAAATGCACTTTACGGACACCTCTCAGATCATTTTGAAATTTTTATCATAGGTAGCCCTTCTGATGCTGATTACAACAACATACGTTTTTTCGGGGGGAAATCAGTACTTCCCGAGATATGGGGTTCCAAAGTTCAAAAAATACCACACTTTTTATTAAACATATTTAAGAATACCACTCCGAAACGTTTAATTTTTTTACAGCACATAGTCCTTTTGGAGCTGATTAGAACCACATAATTTTTTTTGGGGAACTTCGTTCTTCCGAAAATATGGGGTTCAAAATTTTAAAAATAAGCTTATATGGTTATTTCTTTGATTTAAGGATTTTTTCCTTTAGGGACACTCGGATTGTTCTGGATTAGCAGAGGTATGTATAATTTACATGATTACATAAATATGTTACTATATGGGAGGAAGTCCATACTTCTTGAGAAATGGGGTTTGGAAAAAATAGGCTGGGGCCGGGGATTTAGTAATGAAGCTTATTAAATATGATTTACTTTTAATTCAATCACGTATAACTTTTAAAAAAGAAATTGAAATTAAAAGAGAATTCCGCTCGCGTAGCCCAATTTTTCACCTGTCCATAGAAGAAAGTCTTAAATCCCCGGCCGAAGGCCGGCTATTTAGAAAAAAATTTAAATGAAAAGAGAATTCTGCTCGCGTAGCCCAATTTTCCATCTGTCCATAGGAGAAAGTCTTAAATCCCCGGCCGAAGGCCGGCTATTCAGTAAAAATTGAAATTAAAAGAGAATGCTGCTCGCGCAGCCCAAATTTCCACCTGTCCATAGAAGATAGTCTTAAATCCCCGGCCGAAGGCCGGCTATTCAGAAAAAAATTAAATTTAAAGAAAATTTTGTTCTCATAACTCAATTTGTTGTCGGATAATAAGTAAGGGTATAAAATGTAGGTTTTTATTACATTTTGATACCCCATATTTCCGGAAGTACGAAGTTCTCCCCAAAAAAAAATTATGTGGTTGTAATCAGCTCCATAAGGACTATGTCCTGTAAAAAATTTAATCGTTTCGAAGTGGCATTCTTAAATATATTTAATAAAAAGTGGGGGTATTTTTGAACTTTGGAACCCCATATCTCGGGAAGTACTGATTTCCCCCCGAAAAAATGTATGTTGCTGTAATCAGCATCAGAAGGGCTACCTATGGTAGAAATTTCAAAATTATCTGAGAGGTGTCCGTAAAGTGCATTTGTTCCAAAAATTGGGATTCAGCCTGACTATTTTGGAAAAACAAAATACAAATGGTATCCCTAATAAACCGCCAACACTACTGAATATGAAACTACTTTTACAATTTAATTACATATACATGGCAATCATAAACTATCACGATATATTTATCGATACTGATCCAACCATTGCTTGCTATCGACAATTTATCAAATTCCAATTAAACAAACACTACCACACATGCAATCTGTCAATGAAACCAATAGGCGATGGGTTTGTTTGTGTTAGATATCTAACTATTATTCAGACTCGTTAAAATTCTGTCCATACATGTTATTTGATGCCACAGATCTTGATTGACATCTTTTGACTTACCAACACAGCTACAGCATTCCTCGTAGTATTTCTTTCCGAGACATTTCAGACACTCCTGCCAACAGGAGCAATTCTTCGATTCACACTTACAGCTCTGTGTTAATAAACATTTGGAGACGATCGGAGCACAGACAACTTCATTGCACGATTCCACCTCGGGACTATGGAAAAACACAAATCCAAATAGCAGAAATGCTCCTAGAGTTAAACATCGCAAAATCTCCATATTGACAGGGAGTGCAGTAAATAGAAATTGATCACAATCAACAACTCAATGTAGAAATAGTACGAAACACGAAACAAACAAAAGGGACGGACAAATCAACACAAAAACATAATTTGGACGCAAACACGACACAGACTTCAATGGCAATACACTCACGATCCACGACAATCACCACGGCTAGTTGCGAATCTGTATTTTTCTAATAACTTATTTGAATAAAATGAATTAGATCTTCGTTTAGATGACGATAACCAGCTACGATGCTGCGAACAACATCATATTTACTAGGGATAAGTAAATCGACTTTCGACTAATCGATTAATTGACTTTTTGTATTGAAAAGTCTAAAAGCCGATGTCGACTTTTGATCTTGCAGGAAATCACAAAGACGACTTTTCAAGATCGACTTTCGATATATTGAGTACTTTAGACACGTTTATCGATCGGATTGGTTGAGTCTGATATCTCAGGTTCTAAATGTGTGCCAAATTTTCCTGCCAATTTTTGGAAGCTCGTATATTACGATACCCCTCAAATTTTTAAATTTAGGAAGTAATTACTTTGTTATGGATGAAACAAATATTTCATGGTATTCCCCACTGGATTTTGAAAAAAATCTTAACCTTTCATTCGTTTTTCGCGATTTTAGTTATGTGTTAAAAAATGTCAAATAAACACAACCACTTGTTGCGTATATTTTTTTGAAATTTGGGAGAAGAAGGCAAAAAATCTACTTTTTGTTTTGGTAGGTTTATGTCAATTCGTACCTTTTCTGAACAAAAAATGCGCTTGTTACAAAATTAAAAATAGCGCAACTCTAAATACTCTCTCAATAGAGAGAAACTCTCAACACCAATCCCGATAAGTGTAAAACCCCGCCAATTCCTATTTTGTAGGGAGAATGTATCAGCTGATTGACGTTCTATGTCAGTGATGCTCATAATAATTGCACTGTTACTTTCTCGCCTATGCTAAACAAACGGCAAATATAAATTGGGAGAGAATACGTTTGGTTTGTTGTCACGAAAACGTAAAGAGCTGAGCAACACTGTTCTACGTGTCTCAGTGATATCGCCGTTATGTCTGGGTTAACACATGCAACTTTTTCAAGCAACTCTGATGCTGCTTTCTTCGATTCTTTTTTGAATTTATTCCCTCTTGTCACTTATTATACCTTTCTCTTCCGAGAACTTAGCAGAGTTGCTTACAAAAGTTGCATGTGTAAACACAGAGTAAATAAAAAACCAGTTAACGGTAATTTTGCTTCGAGTTCGTTATTCATCACTTTCTCTCCGAATGTGGAACGTTTTTAAAATCGGTCGGTTCATTAGTGCACAAAGATCCAGTAACGTTCGAACAAATTGGAAACAAGTCCCCTCCCACTCCTTTCACGCATCGTCATGATGCACTATGGTGATTTTATTATACCATGTCCGACTCCCTGAGGTAGTCTGAACTCCAAATTTGAGTAATTGGTGGTTTGCTTTATTGTATGTAAGGTGTAATTCCATGTTGGTGTTTTTGTAGCAGCCATACTGCTTGCTTTTACACAATGGGCAAATGTGACAAGTGTTGGATGGATGGATCCTAGACCCATCTGTCGTGGTTACTATATGCCCATGTCTGCCATCATGATTCACCAAAACGAACGGAAAGGTACACTAAAAATGTTTCGTACTTTTTGTCATACCTAGCGTAATGTTTTCCACCCCTATATCAATTTGACAGATGTTTGTTTGTTTATTTGTGTATTTCGACCAATGGGCCTTGTTACGTTCCTTCATCTGTGTCATTTTTTACATTTCCTTACAACTGCAGGAGTAGCAAGTACTGACTATTAAAACTTATAAACGTTTTATAAAACAATATTGTGTGCTCTGGTACATGTGTTATTGTGATGTTGGGTAGCTGTACGGCATATAGAGAAATAGCGTTTCACATAATCAACCGGCAGGATTTTTAGTTTTATAGAGCGATCGTCCAAAGATAAACCCCTAAAGTCGCGAACAAAATGTTTAAGAAGGCATCGATATTGATCATTTTGGCGTCCTTCCTTTGTTTCCTATATGGGATAAAAAATCTATTTGTTGAAGTCGAGGAAAATGCTTGCCGCATGACTTATATGTTTGGAGTTCCACAATTTTCTGTAAGTTTTCACGTTTAACGTTAACGTTCAGAAGGAACAACAATGACCCTTTTTTAATTCCAAGAAAGTAAGTTTTGATGAGAACTCCGAGTTTCCACATTATGGACTTTTTTACTACTACGAAGGAAGAATACTTCAGGATGTTAATAAAATGGAGTTGAAAGGGGCTCCGGTTATCTTTGTCCCCGGAAATGCAGGTTCTTACAAGCAAGTAAGATCAATTTTGTGCTAATTTTTTTCCATGTGTATGATACTAAGAATTAAATAGGTTCGTTCCCTGGCTTCGGTGGCGTTGCGCAAAGGAATGGATAATGATCGGAGTATACATATGGACTACTTTACCGGTAAACGAACCATTTTTCAATTTCAAGTACCTTCTTTCCCAATGATGAATATTTTATAGTGAATTTCGAGGAGCAACTTTCGGCTTTGTATGGAGGATATTTGGAGAATCAAAAGAATTTCCTCCGAACTGCTATTTTAGCCGTCAGAAGATTATATAAAAAGAGGTATGATGTGGATAAATCGATAATCCTTGTCGGTCATTCGATGGGTGGAAAAGTGGCCCAAGCTGTTCTAGAAGATCCAGAAATAGCAAGATATATAAACACCATTATATACATATCATCACCCATGGATAAACCTGTCGTAAATTTCGATCCCAAAATCAATAACTTCTACACGTCTACTGAAAGATATTTTACTAACAAGCGAACAACACACCTGCCAAATCGACAAACGAACGTTTGCACAAATTATCAAGATAGAATTCCTCAATCGGGGAATGAATCAAAAATCTTAGATCATGTTCTTACGATTTCCATGGGTGGAGGTAACCGCGATCTCTTAGTACGTGATGGTTTAACCACATCACAGTTCAGCGATATTCACGCAATGGTCCGTAAGCTCAATGTATTTTGTTTATCTCCAATATGCGTAATTTTTGCATCTGTTCATTAGACTTCGTCTATACCCAATGTTTGGCTGAGTTGTGACCATTTATCAGTTGTGTGGTGCCTGCAGTTGGTTTTGGTGATTAATAGGTTCATTTTCGGAATATCCGTGATTGATGAAAACAGAAATGTGTTCTTTTCCAATGATAAACAACATCGCATCCAAACAGCTGTACACTATTTTGTGGTATGATACCGAAAAACTCTATTGCCAATATTGATTTGTAATATTTGCATGTGGTCTTTCAGAAACCTTTTAACAAGCGTAAATCGAATGAAGTGTATATTCCCAAATCAACAAGTTGGCATGTAGATTCTAAAATTGCATTTCGTAAAGTTTTTAAAAATGGTTTACGTGCCGATTACAATCATTTGTTGCCAACGGTGAAATACAAGGAGTTTAAGGTTTGCTGAGAAATTAAAGACAAAATTTTATATTTTTATAATAAACAAATTATTTTTTAGAAAATTTACATAGAAATTGATAGCTATGAAGATTTTGAAAATGAATGGATCTTCGGTTGTAAAGCTCATGACAGCGACAGCGCGGGAATATATTGGTAAGAAAGAAACAAAAAATATACCATTATCAAATGACTTTGGGTTCATGTATAAATTATCGTCATATTTACTGTTAATGTGCTTAATTGTCCAATGCGTCAATATCCGGTAAATTGGGTAAATACCCATTTGTACCTGTCCAAAATTATCCAAGAAATGTTTCCATTGTAACCCGGAGTTCCATATAAATTTAACTATTACAGCGAAACAGTGATTACAAAGAAATTTTCCTTTACGCGACTGTAAGAAAACGTTTATATAAATTAATGGACAGAATAATAAGTAATAATTATTTACCAATGCAAAGTTTTGCTATTTGAAATTCGTGTATTTGAATAATATAAAAATTGATATCGCAAAATTAAGAAGATGAAAATTTTAATATAAACATTTTTCTATACAGTGATTTTGTAAATGATAATTTCCTTCGATTTTTGAAAAAAAATTAAATAAATAGAATTTTAAAGTTATTCATGATATTTCCTGTCGAGCCTATAATTAGAATCATATAAATTTGCAGTATCATAGAATGTAGTTGCTATTATGTAAATATAACAGTATTTTATTTTTACAAATTTTGGAATAGTGAAAAAGGGACATCACTTTCTCATTTAGTGCACGCCATCCCATCTCATGGGAAATTTCGTTATATGGTACTGATAGACTTACATCGTATATTAAAATACTATCCAGATTGGACACATATTCTTGTTCGGTTAAACCCCACAAACAAACCGGTTAGTCTTTCAAATATTCCTGTAGTTGCTGATCAATAAAATTCATTTTTATTTTACTTCTTTGCACAGACTACACTGAAAATTGACGCTTTCAAGAGAGAGGAACGAAAATACACTATAAAAGCTCCTAAGCTATCTATACCAAAACCAAAAACACTCATAAATGAAACAATTATGGGTACAATACACAGTGAAATCCTCATTGAAGGTAAGATGCTTCATATCATGTGTATACTGAATATATTTATTTTCTTTTTCGATACATGTTCTATGAAAGGCTTGGACGAACCATTTCCCACTGTACAATTTGATATTGAGCCCGTAGAATGTGCTGATAAGGAGTTTGGAGTAACTGCTAAAATATGCATTCCATGGGCCCGTGGTTTTGATAGACATGTTCATTTAACGTATGTATATACATTACATATTCACATACATAAAGCAAACTTCACCTGTATTCTTGTAGGCACGATACTAAAGACAAATCGATATATGTTAATGTGCCATTCTCTACACCAAGTGGATATAACACAACACAAAATCCAGTGTCATTAGAACTGTTTTTGAATCCTGGCTGCCGTTATAAAATAAGGTATGTAGTTGAACATATTTTGAAAATATAAATATTCTAAAATTTTTAAACATTTTCAGTTACCAATTTTCTATTGCCGGAACATCGTCTAAGATTGTACAGGAATTTTATCATTGGCTACCGGCACATTTAAGTGCAGTGCTCTTTTTAGTTCTTCGCAATCAAATAGTATCATTTCAAAGTTCTGAAAAGGCATTGTTTGTAAAACCCTATGCCGGATTCTTTCAGAGTAAATCGCTTTATATTGTAACAGGTAATTATTTACTATGACGATAATATGTTAATACAATTTAAACTGTATTTAATATGTTGTTGGTTTTTACAGCATGTCGCCTATTGAAGAAGTTTTTATTAAATTTAAAATTCTTGCCAATTTCTACGGATCCCACAAATTACAGTTTCTATGTATCCATAATTATACATGGAACTGCCATAGTTCTATCAATAGTTGCAGTTTTTATAATATGGACTATCCTAACATTTCATGGGAACATTCTTCACAAAGTTGCACTGAAGTAAGTATTTCTGGTGGATGTCTTTCTTAATTGATTCTTTATTTTCTTCTTATTATTAATATAATTTTAAAAGATTAACACGGATTTCAAGCGCATCGTCCGAAGTTTTGTTAAAAATTATTACAACACTACCGCTATCGTTTGGCGTCCTTTTCATATCAATTTCATTAGCCACCTGTAGTGGAATTGGATTAACACTGGCAACCATCTTTTATTTTCTAGTGGTAAGTATTATTAATAGCTATGATTTATAAACGCCACCAATAATAATCCTTCCTCTATGTATTATTTTCTAACAAAGATTTCTAATGCCTACAAAGACTACCTTGAAAATTGGGCATGGGATAAAGCAAAGGGTATTTTTAAGAGAATTCGACAACGAATTGGCAAAAAACATAATAATGAAATGGCCGTAGTTCCAACCCAAAGAGAAACTGTTCCAGTTGATGCAGGTTCTGAACAAGACTTGATTCCTAATGAAGATAACAATGAATTGCTTGATTCACATGAAGCTGAGTATGAGGAGAACGGTTCATATTTTGAAGGGCTAGAAAACTTCGCGTTCCATATTACTATGCTGTTGCTACTGGGCATCATGTCAGCACTTAATTTTGGTCTCAGTGTAGCATGGATCAAAGCGCATTAGTAAGTTATTCGATTTAATTTTAATATCTACAATACTCAATTTACATTTCTATTTTAGTCATGGACATATACATGAACATCTTCCAGACCCGTTTATTGTGCCAACATTAATAACACTGACATGTCTAAGCATTTTATTACAATTAGGAGCTCCACGCAAATCGTAAGTATATATATTTGCCGCTTTGTGTATATATGTAACTACTTTGTAATTATGAATTTTGCAGATCTGGTTATCATGGTGTCGCAGCACTGCTTTACATATGTGTTTGCGGGTGTGTTTTATATTGCCAGGAGAATATATATCGGTTGAGTTATTTAATAACCTTCGTCTATGTATGTGTATCACTACAAGAAGTTTTTCATAGCTTGCACAGAATTATGTTGAGCCACCGTTAGTATTATCTTATTTGAAATTGTACATTAACTGTATTCAAATTAACAACAAATTTAGAACATTTTTTATTTCAAACTAATCTGTTATTTATTGTTACAAATTAACGAAATAAACTAATAAATACGCGTTCATTTCTTTTACATGTGCTAATATGCATAGCTATTTTATATGTAGCGCGGATAGCAGTACACTACCTAAACCAGTTTTTTACATATTTCATTTTCCTAAAAAAATGTAATCGTTATAATTGCCAATAATATTCGCATCTTGGACGACCTAAATTAAATTAACCTTACCACTATTTTATCTGTCGGTAGGTCTTAGCCATTACTTCATTTTAGTCGTTATAATTATGGCATGAGACATATTTTATAATTTTTCAATTTCGCTTGGGGGCCGCCCAGAAGATATTACCATAGTGGAATTTGAATATTTTTGTACGCCTCGTCGAAATATAGGTAATATTGAAAACTTAAAAAAATTAAAAACAAAAACTCTGTGTTTTGAGGATTTCCCTATGTCCATCTTTTTTAGTTTTAGAGGTTTTCGCCACTACATACAACCTAAAAATGGAAAAATATAAAGGAATGAACATACCTTGCAGCTATTGAGTTTGTATGCCCCATCTTTATAATTTTATATTATAGGAGTTTTTCAACAAATCTTAATAGTTTTTCAACATTACATAATGTTTGTTAAAATTTTCGTTTAAGGGCCCCCCACCCCCCCATTCACGGCGTCAAAATGTTTTTTATTTAATTCGAATCTGCACTAATTCAAGAATGTCCCTACAAAATTTCAAATCTCTAGAACTCTTGAAGATATAGCCGATTTATTGTGTCTGCATCAAGTGACGGCTGAAGGGCTTCTCAAACTTTAAACGTGAATGGCGGGCACGATAACTCAAAAACTAAAAACGCAAATTTTTACACGTTTCTCTGTGAGTGTATAGCTATCGTATGAACTAGGATAAAGCCAATCGGTTAAGTTCTTCCTTATTTTTTAAACTTGGTTTTTGGTCAGAAATCGGCGATTTTCCAAAAATATTTTTTTAAAGGTCCGCCATTTTGTTTATTTTAGAGCGAAGTCAATAATCCTAGTTCATGCGAGAGCCAGACATGTACTCTTTCTGTCACCGTGGGAATTTTCGGATTCCGATGTTCCAGTTTCATGCCCGCCATCAAAAATAAGGACTTTTCTTTATATAATTTTTTGGCAATTAAAATTCAACTAGCTCGTTCGACGTTTCTCACCACAAAAGTAGTTTCCTTGTGGCAATATTTTCGTTCTCTTTTGAACTTTGTTTTTTCACATTTAAATATATATATATATATGTCATTAAATACGAAATACACAAAACGAATTGCCAGAAAATTGTTGGTACGAGCAATTTTTTTTATTTCTATTCCCCTTACCCCTCTCTCCTACAAACAAAGACTTGCCGCAAGTAAACTCGCCTAATCTAAATCAGGACATTTATATGAATGTTACCAAAATACGTCGAACTTACAAAATTTCAAGTTGAAAATTTTCAACTTTTTCTTTTGTTGAAAATAAAAACAAAATATTCAGGAAATTTGAAATTTCGAATGGAAACTAAAAATATGTGGATTAATTTAATAAATTTTCAATTATGTTTTGCGGTTTGTATTATTTGCTTGAAGATATGGATTCGACGTATTTGGGTAATACGGCCGTACACAACATTTTGCCATAGTGGGGAAGTTGAATATTTTTGTACGGCCCGTCGGATTTTAGGTAACGTTGTTAAATCTTTAAAGTTACAAACCTCAACAAGCAACAAGTTCCCTTAAATATTTTCAGATTCGGATAGAGTACCCTATATCTTTCATATGATAATAGGTGTGTCTGGTTACTTTTCCAGTAACATTTACTCAGTAAGATCTAGTTCAGAGAGTAAGCCGTTTTTATTCTCTTTTGCGATAATACTGAGAAAAGTGAACAGACAACATTTAGTAAGATTCAGCAAAAAACAGCTGATTCAAGAAAACATTTTTATTTGCGTCAAAATAAACAAACAAAGGACGAATACAATTATTTGCATTGCATTTAATATTAAAAATAAAATGAACAATAAAAGAAAATTTGATTTGGTATGTTCTCCGAGAACATTTAAGCTTCCTGCATCAATACATTGTCCTCTTTCTGGAACTTGCCTACAAATAAAAAGGAATTAGTTTCTAATTTAATGAAACTTTGCATTACTTACGAATTTTCTAGATTTTACTGGATTTTTGGGTAAACAGACAACATTTAGTAACATTTGGTAACAATTGTTACCAAATATCGAGTAAACAGACAACTATTATGTAAGAATAAATATATATATATATATATATATGATATGAAAACTCCCAAATTTTGTAAACAAATATCTAGACTGTGTCACAATCAAATATCGACTACTACAGAAAAATATTTGTTTTAACGTGGTTTTATTATACGCTAAATTTTGTAAGAGTACATCTACGGTTAGCTTTTAATTGAAATTAACAAGGTTGTTGTTTTTATTCTCTTTAATTTGTTTTTTTTTTGTTTTCTCATTTTCAGTTTTCAAATTACATATTTACATATTCAAAAAATAGATGAAAAAAGAATATTTGTTATCGGAATCGAAAGTAAAAGTAAAATTGCAATTGGGGTATTAAAATTTATTGCTACTTATGTAGATACAAAACTACTTAAAAGTTAATTTGATAATTTAATTTATTGTTATTTCGTTCTTTTTTATTTATTTTATAATATAATTCTCTTTTTATTTAAATTTTTGTAATTATTTTTATTATTTATGTTTGTGTGTTATGTATAAAGAATATATCTCGCACATAGATGAAGTCTATGTATGTACGTATATGCTTCTATACATAGGTATATATGTATGTATGACTGTGTATAGGAATATGTACATACATATTCTAATAGTAGAGTTTTAATATATAAATTTGGTATTCTGTACATCTCTAGTCTTAGGATTAGTTTGTAAAAATTTATTGAAACCCCGATAACGGTCTGGATCACGACGATCGATGTTCGTCCACATGTTCCAGACCGTTAACCCGGTTTTCGGCGTCGTCCGCGACGACATTGCATCCGAGTGTCTATAATGAAATTAATAAATAATTGTTATACATATAGTTTGGCAACAGGTTAAATTCGTTGCATTTCCGTGTGTGTGTGTTTGGGTGCTGTTTCCGTATGAAGTTCCAAATTCAGTTTCTTCTATGGGATCTGCAGTTCTGCTTCTATCAGTTATCAGTAGTAATTTAATTTCAGTTAATTGCTTTGTAGGTAGTACTCTAAAGGAAGCATAGAGACTACGACATGGCTTTCCATTAAAAAAACGGAAATAAACACACCGAATCTCCTTGAAGGTTTCCGGGGCGATTGACCAATACTAATAATAAAATTCTCTATACACAGCAATGTCGTAGTTCTCAATTTAAAAAATGTATCTGAAACAAAAAAACAGTAGAGTAGGAATTATATTAATGATTTTAATATATATTAGAAAATTAAATATTTCGATATAATATAAAAATGTTCAGTCAGTTATGGTTGATAAACATGCGTAATAAGTAACAAATCCTCAAATCATATGTATGTTTTGGCGTTTTGAAATATGTCTCCAAAAAATGTAATTTTTTATGGGATGTAATAGCCATTCATTCTAAATTTCGAGCCAATTTGTGAAGAATCGGTTCAGCTATAGGTATAGCTTATGGTGGATCCTGTTCAATTTAGAATCATTTTCCGAAACTTCTGTCCTGGGGTCAAATCACCGTATTCGTCATCGAGTTCTGTTTCGTATAGAGAAACATTTCGATCGTTGTAAATGTTTGGATCACCGCATTCGATCGTAATTTTTTTGTCTACTACTTTTTTTAAATTGCTGTAAACATATGGTAATAAGAAATTGGAAGGGAATGAGAATGTCAAAATAAGTTTTTCTGATTAAAATATGTTATTTCTTAGAAATTCATATCGTTTTTGTGTGTTTAAATATACAAATATATTATAAATCCAAGTGTTTTTTTGATTTCCTCGTCAGAGGATGAGTACAATGTGGCATTTATAAGGATAAATATTCGTGACAAAAGCAGTCCTTTAGCATTGTCGGAATCATATGGGCCGCCACCATTTTTTTCGAGGCCTTGTTGTGCGAGAGTTTTTTTGTGTTATGCTTTTGATCTGCATACACCTTGGGTCAACTTGTATTTTGCCAAATCAATAAGTATGTAGTTTTCGATAGCATAATACCTATCGTGTGCAACTTCTAGTAGAAACAATTTGATTACGACTGCGGTGATCCGCGTAAACTACATTACGATACCGAAGTACTCGATTTCGACTGCCGTGATTTGGCCCCTGATCGGTTCACATATAAATACACATATATTTACAGCATCAACAATAATAATAGAAACAACATTAACAACGCATTTTTGGTGTGAATGGAATGGCGGATTTTTATAATTAGCACTTCAATTTGAAAATATATTTAAGTACATCTCTTGTATACTTCCACTCCCTTTTTTCCTACAAAATTATTCTCTGTGGGAATTTTAGTGATGAAGGTGTAATTTTTACATTAAAACTTATTATAGGTACCAAAGATGTAATTTTAGGTACATTACTAAAGGATATATTTTTCTTTCCTTTTTGAGTTAACAAAACACGTTTTGACCTAGAAAATACCCATTTATCCAAAAACTATCTTTATTATTCTACGTTCGGAATATCACCTTAATA